ACTATTAGAGCAAACTCATTATAATTAATTACACAGAAGTTATCACTTTAACTGATAAGTTCGGACGAATAATAAATTTCTATTCTTCGATATGGTTTACTAATCTTTACAAATATTACATTTCCTGACTACTTATAAGCATCAATTAATAAAATAATATATTGTACTAAAGTACATTAGGAATAATGATATATTCATATAAATATTTATTATTATAAATTTTTCACCTATAGTTATCATAATTCATGTTAAGCCACGGATTTATAAATTCCTTAGTCTCGAGTTAATATGAAATTTTAATAAATAATAATTATCGAGAAATTATATTTACAGAGAAGTTAATTTATCGATTACATTATTTTGTCTGAAAAGAAAAAAAAACCGTATTGTGGTTATTTTAATTTTATTATTATTATAATATTATATATTCAAATCACCTCAGCACTTTTAAATAATTTATATTACCAATCTGTCAATTATACATAAAAAAAAATAAATATCTTTAAATGTAGAAATGCACGTTTAATTCATCCGAAATATTTTCAATACATTTATTTAATTTCTAATTTAAAAATTGCCAAAGTAAATAATACAAATCCAATCCAAATAATGTATTATTTTTAAATATATATGAGGAAATAAATATAATTTTACTTTAACAAATTATAGAAGTAAATATTGTATTAATTAAAAAAAAAAGATACTTCTTTATCATTCAAAATATGCTATCTTACTGTTTGATTACTTTAAAAATATTTATTATTCAAACTTATGAATATTAATGAATTAATTATTTTTAACAAGAAATTTACATGATTTTTTACTTTTTTACGCACACAAACAATGTTTTATTATGCTATTTTACTATTCATGTGTTAAAGTTGGCTACCGGGAACTCGAAAATTTTTTTATTTGGATTTACTTTAAAAAAAAATCCAGCTCTCTCTCTCTCTCTCGGCCATTTTAATTTTATTCTAAAATAAGTATTCTAATGGATTTTAAGAATTTTGCAAGAATTTTACTAATTTACATATTTGTGCAATAACAAGAAACAATTTATATTTTACATATAAGTACTGCTTTTATTGAGATTAATACGCATTTATGCAGCAGTAAAATATATCGAGAATTTGTGCTCAATATGCACGCTAACTAAAAACAATATTATATTATATTTAAAATAAACAGAAAGAAAGAAAAAAGTATTAATATTTATCAATTGGCGTTAGTTGTAATAGTAAAACATAGGCTAAAGTTTTTAACGATAATCGCCTGCACGGCAACAGATTTTTTATCTTATCTAAAATTACTTTCGAAACGATTGCTCAATAAGTTTTACCTGAAAATCGATTGTCTTTCCATAAATATTTTTAATACAACCACTAAATGTTAATAAATGCAACTGTAATGCAAAAATTATGGAATACGAAAAGTAACTTTTCGTTTTTCATTCATTTAAATGCCATAATAAGGAACAATTAAATTTTGAAGTACCCACCTACGCGGAATTAAATCGCTGAGAATTAATATAGAGAAGTATAAGTTATGAATGTATTTTGTGATATTAGATTTAAATCGTCATCAACAGGATTTAATATGACAATTATCTTATGCTCTTAGTAGTAACTTACAAAATTAAATTCAGAAATAATTGGGCCTTAAAAGATACGACTAATTGTTCAAATTATAATTAACGCGACTGCGGTAATTATGTAATGCATACAGAATAATCATAGAGCATATAATCGATATGAATGATGTTTATGCACAGATAATCTGCAGTGTATAAATTTTAAGAATTCAGAACTTACCGAAAGATAGCTTTTAATATTGTAGGTCAAGGTTCGAACAATATATCCCTCTTCATCTTAGTAAGTTCTGGGTAAGAAACAGTGAATGAAGAAAAGAATGGGATAAAAAGTCAGGAAAAATAAAAGTAAAGTTTTGCTCAAATTCGAGCAAAAACGTTGATCTCCATTTCCCCTTGAATGCAATCACTCGAACAAGCAGTAACTCGCAGGTTTGGAAAGAGC